GCGGGCTGCTGCCCGCAGAGTGCCGCCGGCGCTGCCAGCACAGCAGGCCCAGAGGAGTCTGAGGCTGGCACACAAGTCAGCACTCAAAAAAAAAATTAAAATTGAGTAATTAATTTGCTCTAACATCTCCTTTGGCATTCGCCAAGACACTCGCCCAGCCCCAGACAGCTGGTGCCAGTCTGTGTTTTATTCTGCCGGTGCCCAGCGCTCGCCCCTGGGAGCCCCTCGGCGAGGGCTGTGCGGCCCCATCCTGCTCACCACGGTGCTGCTGGAATTACAGGGACAAACAGGTGGTGCCACGAGCTGCAGTATCCTGCTCCTGGAGTGCAGAGTCCAGGGGAAGCATCCCCTTCTTGTACTTCTCTGGCCAGACCACAAGTAAGACCAGTCCCTGTGAAGCAGCTGCCTGCTGGGCAATGCTGCTGCACCATGGATAGTAACCCCTGCCCCTACAGCAGCGCTGAGCCAGGCAGAGCCTCCCTCACCCTCCCCTCTTCCACACAGCTCATCCCCCGGGCATCGCAGGGCTGCCAGCGAGGGGCTGGTGGCTGCTCCCTGCCTGCTCCCGGCTCGGGGAAGGACTCGCTCTCCCCCTGCCTGGCTTTGAGGCGTGTCCCTTTGTGACAAAGGAACCCGCACGCCGAGCTCCAGAACGAGCCTGGCTGGCTTGGCTTTGGGGATGGGGTCAGAGAAGAGGGAGCTGCTCTGCCTGCACCTCGTCCCCCTCGCCTGCCAAGGGCCTGCTGGCCCCCCGGCACCGCTGGGCACGGGGAAGCAGCATCCCTGCCTTGCTCCCCAGGGCCGAGGGACCCAAACCTCAGCCCCAGCAGGGCCCCGACATGCTGCCTGGGTTGAGCACGCTCGCCTGCCCTGCCTGCCCCACGTCCCTGCTGCTGCAGCTGGGCTCAGCTGCTCCCCAGCAGGATTGGGAGTGCTCCTCGGGGCGGTTTGGGAAGGGCTTTGCTGCTTTCCATAAAGTGGTTCCTGTTTGCAGGCAGGGACTTATCCGGACATTTGCATGTGACAGGCCAGGCTGGCGCCGGGCCGGGCGCAAGGGGTGGCACACCCACGGGCAGCCACCCGAGCGTGGGGGCACAGGCAGGCAGGCGAGAGGGGCCCTGCTCCCGGGAAGAGAGGAGCAGCACAAGAGGCACCCCCAGTCCTATCTCTGCCTGTGGGGAATGAGGTGGCTTTGGAGACCAGCTGGGAAC